TTCTTTCTTTCTTTCTTTCTTTCTTTCTTTCTTTCTTTCTTTCTTTCTTTCTTTCTTTCTTCATCCCCACCCCCTCTTTTTTTTTTCTCTTTCACATTTATGGTTATCTTTCCCCATCTGAAATATGTCTCTCTTACTGTTTTCTCTAACAATTAAAATGTAGTCAATATGCAACAGCTTTAGAATTTGTATTTTATTTCAATTTTAGTGTGCAGCATTTAGTTTCAATTCACTTTGATTTTTAACTCTTTATTATGGAAAATTTTGAAAACATAAAAGTAGAACAGTGTAATGAAACCCCTTACCCATGTAGCGCTTACTCATGTCAACATTTATCAGCATTCGACTAACTCCGTTTTCATGTAACCCCCATTCATCCCCCTCCCCTATCCCCATTGCATTATTTTAAAGCAAATCCCAGACATCATAACATTTCACTTGTAATATTCTTCAGATATATCTCTAAGATATGAGGAATATTTTTTCTTAACAGAACCACAGACTTTTGTCATATCTTACTAAATAATGGTAATTCCTTAATATAATCTAATACATAGTCCATGTTCAAATTTCCTGGATTATCTCATAAATGTCTCTTTACAGTTGGTTTATTGAAACCAGGTCCACACGTTGCATTTGTTGCTGAAGTGGGCGGCGTCTGAATGGCTCCGAATGATCCCTGCCTCCGGGTCTTCCCGCTCCTCCACATAGGCTCAACCTAGTGACTTACTTCTATAAAGAACAGATTCAGCAAAAGGGATGAGCTGTCACTTCTAGGATAAGGCCATAGAGGGTCCACGGGGCCAGGAACTGCGAGCAGCCTCCACGAACAGCCTTGGGGGGGGGGGGCTGAGGTCCTCAGACCAACCACCCCCTGGGAACGGAATCCTGCCAATGTCACAGGGGTGACCTTAGACGCAGATTCTTCGGCCACTTGAGACTGCAGCCCTGACCTTGACTGCAGCCTTTTGAGAGCCTCTTAGCCCAGTTTCCTGACCCACAGAAATGGAAATAATAAATGTTGTCTTATTTTTTATTGATTTTTTTAAGAGAAAGAGAGAGAGACAGATTTGTTGTTCCATTTATTTATGTATTTATTGGTTTTTCTCGCATGTGCCCTGACAGGGGATCAAATCCACAACCTTGGCATGTCCAGACGACACTAACCAACTGAGCTGCCCGGCAGAAGCGAATAAATGTTATTTCAAACCACTAGGTTTGGGGGCAACTTGTTGCGTAGCGATAACTAACTAATCCTGCTGTTGTGTCTCTCTAATACACAACAGTTCCCCAGCCTTTTCTCCTTTTTGGGGGGCAAGGTCTGGTTCGTACGGAGGATAGCGTTGTTCATTTTGTTCAGTGACCCTCAAAGTGGGACCGAGACTCCCCTGGGGGACGGCCCCTATGAAAAATCCAGACGCCTGGCCTCCTTGGGACCTGCTGACTCTCTGAGGAGGGACCAGGAACCTGTCTTGGTAAGAGCATCCGGGGATTCTTTCGTCCACCAAAACCGGGAACCAAATAGGCCTGATTTAGAGACCTGGCTGTCCCACTCGCTGGGGGCATTGTGAGCTCACCTCTCTGAACCTGTTTTCTCATCTGTAAGATACGATTCTCATAGTATTTACTTCGCAGGCTGCTGGGCCTAGGTGCTCCCTTTCTGTCTCGTGGTTCATGGATTTGCTCTCTCTTTTGTGAGAAAGAGTTTGCGTTGTAGATAGAGTGAGGGCGAATTGGGCCTAGGCATGGTTTCACACATATCCTTGCACACTCAGTGTTACTGGAAGCATGTACAACAAGGATGTCAAACTCGCGGCCCGCGGGCCACATGCGGCCCACAAGGAATATTTTTGCAGCCCAGCCAATATAACGGTATGTAAGAAACGTTTTGACAAAAATTTTGTAACTTAATTTTTACAATATCCTGTTATACATAATTATTAATAACGAACTACAACGTTTGCTAATGACTGATTACTATAGTCATGTTGCATGCATTTCCCTTACATGCCTTACGCACAGGTGCGCCATTTCTCTCCACTGATACCAGCAGCAAATATTTTAGCAGCCGATGGCCACATCTTTAGTCTTAGACTGACTTGTTTGGTGTGAGCAACAGGAAATATTTCACTTTCGGAGAACAAGAAAAATAGGTTTATTTGCATGACGCTTATTAATTTGTGCAGTTATTCAGTGTCTGGTAAGTTAATGTTCAAGAAAAATTAATTTTTATTAAAATGTTCTATTATTTTATGTTAATGGTTACTCATTTATTTCAGCCATGTCTCTATTGAAATCAAGTGGTAGTAAAAATAAATGAAAAATTGCTAATGAACATAGAAATTTCCAAGAAAATTGGGAATTGGAGTATTTTTGCCGAGAAGTAAAAAGTAAAATAATCTGATATGTAATAATGCTATTAGTGTACCAAAGTTATACACTGAAAGTTGAAGCTTTTGTTTTTTGCGGCCCACATACACTTAAACCTTGTTTATTTGGCCCGTGTTAGCCACTGAGTTTGACATGCTTGCTGTCCAAGCTCGAGTCCTTGCACAGGAAAGCCAACCTGTTTTTTCAGTTTGCCAAACAGAAGTTTCTTCTGCATGTTAATTTTTATGTATTTAAGACAGCAAACTGTATTTATGGGAAAATCAGCTCGACTGCATATGAAATGTTGAGGACAAGAAATTGTAGGGAATCTGAAATGTCAGACCCCCTTTGTTTTACTAAAATATATATTTTTTTATTTCAGAGAGGAAGGGAGAGGGAGAGAAACATCAATGATGAGAATCATTGATCAGCTGCCTCCTGCACGCCCCCTACTGGAGATCGAGTTCACAACCCAGACATGTGCCCTGACCGGGAATTGAACCGTGACCTCCTGGTTCATGGGTCCACGCTCAACCACTGAGCCGTGCCGGCTGGGCTTACTTTGTGTTTTGAACTGTCTGGATTTTTCCTGCAAATGACTACTGGGTCTGTGCAATTTCATTGCTCTTCATTTCTATGCCACATATTTCAGTCCTTGTTTTAGTTATCTCTTGCTTCCTAAATTTAGTGGCTTAAAACAGCAGCAATCATTTATGATCTCTCCTGGTTTCTGTGGGTCAGGAATTCAGTCAGGCCACAGTGGGGATGACTTGTCTCTGGTCCACCATGTTTGGGGTCTCAGCTAGAAGTCTTGAAAGCTGGGGGTCTGGAATCATCTAAAGCAGTGGTTCTCAACCTTGGCTGCACCATGGGAATCCCCTGGGGAATCTTTTTAAAATCCTGATTTCTGGGCCTCATCCTCCGGAAATTCTGTTTCTTTGTTATGGGGTGGGGTCACAACATTAGTAACAAAGAAACAGAATTTCCGGAGGATGAGGCCCAGAAATCAGGATTTTAAAAAGATTCCCAGGTGATTCTAATGTGCAGCCAAGGTTGAGAACCAGTGATCTAAAGCTTCATTCACTTACATGTGTGGCTATTTATGCTGGCTGTTGGCTGAGGGCCTGGTCTGGGGCTGTCGGCCAGACACCTACACGTGGCCTCTTGTGTGGCCTAGGCTTCCTTGCAACACGGGACCTGAGTTCCATGAGCAAATGTCCAGAGAGACGCTTCTTATGACCTCGCCTCAGAAGTCACACGTTCTGGTTGTTACCGCTGAGTCACTAAAACCAGCCCACGTTCAAGGGCACGAGGATTGTACTCCTTTCGAAGGGAGGCATGTCAAAAAAATATGTGGACACGTTTTCAAATCAACAGGACATCCACGACAGTGTCAGTGGAAGCGCAACTCATTCGTGTTCTGTACTGGAGAGAGTGCGTGTCAGTAATCACAGCATGTTTGTGTGCACTTATAGTAAAAAAAGAGAGAGAGAGAGAGGTGCCTTTAAATTTATCAACCTTTAACTTTTTACTTTTGTAAGTGTGCTTTGTGACTCTCTTTTGAAGGCTTTCTCTTAGCCCAACCTTTTAAAGTGTTTTTCCCTGTTTTTGCTTAGTGATTTTAGAGATCTCTCTCATAGTTAACACATTTTTAATGGAGTTAGGATGGAATCTGCCTTAGATCAGCTTCCTGAGAAACGGCCCAAAATGGGAGTTCTTGCCCACGTGCCTGGGGAATTGTTCTCAGAAGAAGGAGAATGAGGCCATCAGGACAGGGCGGCGAGGAAAAGCTGAGCAGCAGTGTGGTCTGCGCTGGTGGCGAGCTTGGTCTAGAGCCGTGGTTCTCAACCTTGGCTGCACATTAGAATCACCTGTGCTAGGACATCTCACCGACTCGCTGAGGCGTAGCGGGTGGCAACTCCCCCTGGGAAGATGCTGTCTCATAGAAGGCAGATGTGAAATCATGGGGAGCCTCAGGGTACCCTTTGGTCCCCTCACTGTCTCTGTCCCTCACGCAGCTCCAGTGCCAGGGCAGCCCTTTTAGCGACCTGGCTTCTCAGCCCTGTGCTCCAGCTCAGCAGCCTGCCACCTGCCGCTGTCTCCTTCGAGACCTGGCATGCCCTGGATGACGGGGAGCGGCTGGGCCGTGCCCAGGGGGCCCTTCCTGGCCTTGACCCAGCACCTTCAGCTCGTGGGAGATGACCAGAGCTACCCGAACCCTGGCATCCTCTCCTGCTGGCTCAGCTGGGGGCTGCGAGGCTCCGGGCCCAAGGCCTGCTGGGAACGTG